AATCATGCATTCAATATTTCCAATCATTTGGTATCTTAATTATACATTTTTGAGAGATAAACTTGTTGCATTAAACGCTAACAGTACCACACAACACACATAGATTTATAATTAAAAAAAATCTTGCGCAGAACATTATAAACCTAACATTTCAACTCAGTTAAAATATAATTTAATTTTTCACTAATATGAAGCTATAGCATACCTATAACTTGTTTTTAAGAAGAGGCATAGTCTAAGACAAGTGAACAACGTATCGACTGGTGCAGTGTATTCTAGGATTGAGTCTGGAGTTTAGAAATGTGATTATATTTCATTGTGACCATAATTTTATCATACATGGCATGGTTTATATATAACTGTGTCCATTAAATCTATTGGTTTACCATACACTGCAAAAAAATTCATATGATTTTACTGTAAGCATTTTATCAACAGCATTTAATCTTACAAAGGTGACTTGCATTAAAAATAAGTATTTCAATAATGTTTTTTATTTTATTTTTCTAGTAATTTTTTTAATGAAAAATGTACTGCGTTTAAAAATGGTTTTAAATACTGAATCATTTAACACTTTAATGCATCTTTTCCAGGTTTTATTAATTTATGTGATATAAAAAATTCATAAGTTGTTGTCTTAAAACTGATACTTTTGAGAACGAAATTTTTTAAGAATAAAGTTGCTCCAAAAATTATAAAAATTTTCCTCAAAATGCACCCTGCTGTATTTATCAAAAAATAAATGATCCAAATAGTTTGTCTGAAATCCTCTAAAATATTAATTATTTTCAAAATGAGAAAATGATGTAATATGTGCTATTTTAATGGTGATCACTCATCAGACATTTATCCTCATCACTTCCATCAAAATACATATCTTTGACAACCTCTTTTGCTATATTTATACGTAATTTTTTTTTTTTTCGTATCACTCTGATGCAAGCATTTTCATGTTTCTCTGTCAGTAATTCTTGGATCTAATACCCAAAATGATCATAGAGAACAACTTATTAATTTTTATAGCAAATAAATTAGTAAAAGCTGGAAAATGTGCATTAAAGTGTTAAATGATTCAGTATTTAAAACCATTTTTAAACCCAGTACATTTTTCATTAAAAATATATATATATATTTTAAATAAAAAAAATTACTCAAATGCTTATTTTTAATGCAAGTCACCTCTGCATAATTAAATGTTGCTGATTAAATGCTTACTGTAAATAATATCAATTTTTTTACAGTGTATGGTAAACGAGTAGATTTAATGGATAGCGTCATATGAACCAAATAATCACATTTCTAATCCGCTTACAAATAACAAAAGTGTAAAGTAATGAAGTACTAACCTTTGCTTTTCTATAGGAAATCTGTAGAAATGTCTGATTTTGAACTTTTTTATTCGATATTCCAAACAAATCTGCGAAAGTTACAACTTAAATTTTTTGGAAGAGAGAAAAAGTAAAAAAAAAAAAAAAAAAATTTAAAATTAAATAGATACACTATTCCTTCAGATATAAATTAATCGAATTAATTTAGTAATTCCATTAGTTTCAGGTCATTGAATTGAGGAGGAGGAGGGGGTGAGGGTTTTAGTTAACAGTGCAAGCACTACAAACTGTATTGGCGCTGCAGTTGGCAGCAGGTTGTAGTATGTGAGTGCTGACATTTCTCTTGAAGCAACTTTCAGAGGGATTGGTTTGTTTATTAATATGCATGATATGTAAGATTGTATTTAACTGTTTAAAATGACTGAGTTTAAAATTCTTTAAAATGAATGATACTTTTTGGTATTACAGTCAAAAGTCGTTAATTCGGACACCCATAATCCGGAATGATCTATAATCCGGACCTCAAAGCTACAAACTTTCTGCACATGCGTCGCTTTGACGCATGCGCGTAAGACCTTTACGGCTGCGAATATGCTTGTGCGCATGCGCAAAATACGTTTGCGAGTGCGCGTTTAATGTATAACGGGCGGTATAAGCTAAGCTAAAATTATCTAATTATGTATTTCGGTTAATGTTGCAGATTGCGTTGTTCCTTAATCTTCGAATTGGATCCGGCTTATTATTTTTTGCAGACTGTTAGAGCAGTTTTATAAAAGTAAGCTTGAACTTTCGATTATGTCAAATATAATTTCTGACATATATTTATTAATATGTAAAGGATCTACAAAGTGAAAGTATGTTTCGAAGTTCATTAAACAAAAAGTGGAATTGCTGAAAAAAATGGATAAAGGCATACCCTTTCTTTATCTAAACTTTAACGTTTGTTTATCTAAACTTTGTTTATCTTTAACGCCACGGCGCGCAATGAATTGGAAGTTGATCTGTCAGCACTATCCTTATCTTCAGGGCAGATGTTTTTATTTTATTCGACTTATAATTCCTTACTAAATGTAGTATTTCATCTCGATGTACTCCGTCTTTGATATGATTTAAATCAAATTCCTTGTCATTATAATTCGAATCCGATAGCGAGGAAAGTAACAGAGGTTATTGAAAACGAAAAAATTTTAATTGACAAATTAGTTGGTAGACACAGCAATTATAGGACTTGAACAGCGGAACTTTGTAACTGAACAAGAAATTATGTCTGTTTATAGAATTAAAGAGAATGTATTATCGCATAAAAAACGAAGCAACTTAAACAACTTACATTGAAAGAAATGTTTAATAAAGTAAACAAATAAATATTGAGCTTTTTTTTTTTTTTTTTTTTTTTGTAAATTTTGATACCCTTTAGATCATAATTGTTCTTTATTTCATAAATTACGGTTTCATATTTTTAATTTTATAATTTCTGCATGCCATCTTACCAGATTTAAACTGATGATCTATAATCCGGAAAAATCGATAATCCGGAATCGCCAAAGTCACGACGAGTCTGGATTAACGATTTTGACTGTAGTAACTTTGAAGTTACTAATGCCAAAAAGCTGCCAAGATATTTCATTTTATTTTATGCTACTAATTAATAAAATTATATACAATTTATATGATCTATAATTTTTAATTATATGAATTTATGAGTAAAAATATGTATTAAGCTATTTAAGTTGATCTAATTAGAGTTTTTTTTTTTTTTTTTTTTAAATTTCTAATTGAATGTTACAAGACAATTGAACATAAATAAAATACAAAACAAGGACAAGAAAATTGACATCAGTATATCTATAAATTCAGGGTATTCTTTGCCGGCCAGTAGCTTTTCCAAATCAAAATGTGAGGAAGGGCAGGTTATTTGTGGAGATGCGGCCAGTCCATGTCTTTTTGTGGATTGCATAAGGATCAAAGTGAGTCAGGAGCAATACTGATGCATTGAATGCACTTACAAAGGCTGTCATGGCCAGATATAAGATGGAATAATACAATAGTTTTTTTTTTTTTTTTTTTTACTAGGCCATTCAGGTACTTTCCAAATCTGTCTAAACCTTAATTTATTTCTATTTATGTCTGCGAGTTCTTAAAAAATGGGGTCTCTGAAGGTTTTCTTAACTATTGACTTAATGGAGTTGTAGGGAGTGATGAGACAGTGATGTTTGAAGAACAGAAGCTCTTATCTTATCCAAGAAATCGGCAACTTCACAACCCTGAACTTCACAATGGGAAGGAATCCATTGAAGTACAACCATCTCTGTCATTATTTGAGAGCCAGTTAAGATGCTGAAAACAGCAATTAACAGTTAAAGAGCAGGACTCGCTGCTCTCAATAGCTTGAAGGGCACATCTGGAATCTGATAAGAACATGGTTACATCATTTATCATTATACTCACATATTCAAAAAGGAGGGTGTAGTTTTATTGAACAATTTGTGTACTTGTTCTATTGTGAGAATTGTTGTCTGTTTTGCAAACCTAAAGTATATAACCTATAGTTTTCCCTGATTTTCATATATTTCAGCACAAAATAAACCTGGCTTAGATGATTTTAGATTTTGTTCAAAGAAACAGACCTTCTTCTAAAGAAATTTGAAAAAGCTCTCAAAAGAATGAAGAACTTTGAAAGGATCAGCATTCTGCTGAGGTAAAAATATTAATCTTATTTCTGTGGACTTTGATAACTACAGAGATGTGACATCAAATACTATATAATGTGGTATACACTACAGCTCCAATTCGTTACTAAAATTGTTACTTCTTGATAATGACTTATAAATTATTCGACTGTACTTATCACAATTTATAATCTTGTTACTTGTTAGAATCTAGCACCATGCATTTTGACAGCTTCACCTAACGCTGACCAAAATTTATGTTTGATACAATCCCATTTTATGAATCAATAAGGATGTGCCATCACATTGCAGTCATGGTCCTTTTCTCTCTACATTTTTATAAATGAATAATTATCATCAGCAATCATGAGTGTTCATGAAAACACTAATTTTGATTGTATTTTAAAAGCATGCTGCTGATGAAAACTCAATTAAACATATTTTAGGTAAATTATTGGAAATCTGTACAGTTTTGCCAAACTTACAGAGGTTTTCATGGTTGAGAAACTTTGATAGGTTGACTATCTATGCTAAATTCCATGTTTTTTGTTAAGGTAAACCATGTTGAGCAATAGCCAAATAGTATCTCAAATAAAAGCTACGCGACTTTTTACAATTCTGAACATAAATATGGTATATAAAATTGTTTATTATTTCATATTTTGAAGATCCTGGATCCTTAATTAAAGTCTGATCATGAAATATGAATGATTTGCCCTTTTTTCAGGTGTTAATTTTCTTGTAAAAATATAAACAAGCCTGTTTTATATATATATATTTGTATATATAGTTTTAAGACATATAATTTTCGTAGCATGATGAAATGTTAATTAGGTCTGAAACAAACTGATGACCATTTGTCAAACATGCCAACTAAATTTTGCTTAAAAATTAAGAACTAAAAACTGTAATTGAACTTTTGGGAGATGCAATTTTTAATGTGTAGTTATATTTTAATTAAAATTAAAAAAGTATTTTAAATTATTGATTATTCTCTCCTTAGTTACCTTCTCCTGATATAACAAAGAAGAAAAGTAAAAGAAAAAGGCAGAAGCTTTCAAATTTAAATGAAGATTACAATCATGTTTTGCAACCAACTGAGACTCAGATATGCCATGTTCTTAACACTAAAACAAAAAATGAAACATCAGGTTCTAATTATTTAAATACTAAAAAACAAAAAAATGATACTTTTAAAAGTTATTTGGGTAGTAGTGGAGAAATCCTATTATCCAAAGTTAAGAAAAATAATTTGCATGAAAAGAGAAAATTGGAAAATGAATGCAGAAACAGAATAGACTTACTGCCTTCAGAACCTGCTTCATCTTTGCAAGGAGATAAATTATCTTTAAAGAAGAAGAAAAAGCAAACTTCAAAAACTGCTTCACTTAGAGGTATGAATTCAACTAATTCAAAACATGATAAAAATAATATAGAGCCTGAGAAGGTAAATAAGTGGAATAAAAATATACTAAAATCAAATAAACTAAAGAAATCATCCCCAGCCTCAGAAATAAAAAGAGTAACTATAGCTGTGGAATTTCCAAATGAAGATTTTGAACTAATAGAGGAGATTAAAAATAGTTCTATATATAAAGAATTACAGAATTTTACAGGACAACAGCAGTTTTTCAAACAAATTGATTCAAGAAATAATGTCTCTGAATCTTCTAATGACAAGGAGCACATCCCAGATGTAAGTGAGAATGAAGTTCAGATGATATCTATAAAACAAACAAGTCAATCAATAACAGAGAATGAAACTAAGAATAGTAATTTTGATGGAAAGAAAAAATTAAAAAATAAATTTAAAAACATAACATCATTCCACTCAGAACCAATTACTATGTTGCATGGAGGTAAATTATCTTTAAACAGGAAAAAAAATAAAAAGAATCAAGTTTTAAAAACAGGTGTTGATGATGCAATGAGAAATGTAGTTTTAGCTAATTTGAAAGATGGCAAAAATAATGTACAACTTAAAACAAGTAAGCATAGTAAAAAAACATCATGCACAAATGACATAAAGAAAACATCTCAAGGCTCAAAGGACAGTGGTGTAACTGAAGCTGCAAAACTTTCAAATGAACGTATTGAGATAACAGAGGAGGTTAAAAGTAGTTGTAACATAGTGCAGAATTTTTCAAGGAAATTACAGTTTCCAAGACAAATTAATTCAAGTTGTAATTTCTCTAACTCTTCTAATGAAGGATTCTTGGATACTAGTGAAAATAAATTGCAAATGACGTCTCTAAAACATTGTTCAAGTCAGTCAGCAATGGAATGTAAAACTGTCCCTGAAACAAGTCTATATAAAAATAAGAAAAATAAAGCAACATCTTTTATAAACAAAGCACAAAAAATGTTAAGTGCTGCAAAATTTAGGTATTTGAATGAAAAATTATATACTGGATCTGGAAGAGATGCATATGAATATTTTCAGAATAATTCTGATGAATTTGAAGATTATCATTCTGGATATAAAATGCAAGTCCATAAATGGCCCATGAATCCTGTCGATTTAATTATCCAAGATTTACGTAAATTGTAAGTTGAATCAGTATTGATTTTTAAAATGTTATAAAATGCTAAAATTTTTTAAATTATTTATTTTAAAATTTATTACTATTCCTATTAAAATTTGTTATTTATTCCTTGAACAAAATTTTTAATTTATATATACTCATATCTTCCTTTAAAAATATTTTGTATCTATTTAAATTCTGTCAGTGTATTAGATGAAAGATTCAGCTGAAATGCTCAATGTATTTCAAGAGATCAACAGACATTATTTTAGCAATGGAAACATATATCTTGCTCACTTCTGAAAAGAGAGCTTGTCATTTGTCTTTTAAAATGCATCGAGCAGGCATACTATAAATTAATGTTATGGATGGAAATGAGAATGCAGATGTACTTCTGCAAACGTGAAAATACTGCTGAATTTTACTTCTTTAAATTAGAGTGCATTTTTACATTTTTAATTTAACAGTAATTTTAAATATTGGGCAGTATTAAAATTTAGGTTTGAAATTTACCATATTTAAATTTAGTGCAGTTTTATATCAAGAATGTTAAAAATTAGTAGACTTATTCATTTTTGTTATTGGTATTTAAATAAAAAATTTATTAGAATTTAAATATTTATATATTAAACTGATTGTGTTTCTTTGGTTGTTATTTCATTTATATTATAAAATTTTCAATTAAATATATAGGTATTAAATAATATTTTAAGCCTTTGGATACAGAATGCATTAACATGCTTTAAGAGATTAAATCAAAATTATAAATTAAAAATTTTAATTGAAATAAATGTATTCTGTAAGGAATAGAATATGTAGCATATTATGCAAATGCAAATGAACTTAGTTTGTAGTTGCATTTGTAAATATTTAAAAGCACATGTATGTGTAAACACATATAAAAATAAAGTTATAAAACATAGACAATGAATGATTATAATGAAAAAAAATACACATTGTAATGATATTTATGATCATTGCCTGTTTACTTATGATTGGGTATATTTTATTTTCATATGATCAAGAATGTATTAACTGAATGTTTAAATACTTTTATGCTTAATTATATTTGTTATTCTTAGATCTGAAAATGCAGTAATAGCTGATATGGGATGTGGTGACGCTAAAATTGCTCAAACATTTACAGATAAGACTGTCTATTCATTTGACTTGATAGCACTGAATGAATTTGTAACACCTTGTGATATATCTAAGGCAAGTACTGATATTTTTATCTTCAAGACCTATTTATGAAAATAGTTAAATCTATGTATTTCCATACAAATGATATGTGGTTTTACATAGTAGGCTCTTTAAGATAATCAGAAATAAAGAACACAAATCTTTGGTAATTCAGTAGTTGGATCTCTGATGTAGAGATTGAGAAAATCTGAGTTTCATTTGTAGGTTAAACAAAATTTTTAAGTGCCTGTGAAAAATGCAAGTCTTGGAAAAGTAGATTTGTTTCCTCATATATGTTGCATATGGTCTATGACTAGATTACCATATTTTTGGGAAGGTAATCGAGGATATTTTATGAAAAATTAATTTTAATGTTAAAAAATGTCTACAACTTGTGTAAGTGTTAAGCCATGTTTCCCATAGGCATCCGCAAGGGTGGGGAGAATCACAGTATAAAATTTCCTGACTTTTCCCATACTTTTTTGGTCAGTTTTTTTTTAATTCCCTACAATTTCCAGGTTTTCCAGGTAGCGTGGAAACCCTGATTTCAGCAAGTGACTAAAATAAATATCCTAGCAAGGATCCGCAAGGGTCGCAAATGCCCCATTAACTATTATTAGTTAATATAACTTTCAAATTTCATGCAATTTTCTCTGGCATACTTATGAAACTAATTCTAGCAGTATTATGACATACCATCAGGAAATTTAGTGCACATATTTTTTACTTATGTCTGTTGCTAAATAAATATAAAATACTTGAATTTTTTTTTAAATATCATTAAATAAATTTTGTTCCCTTAGCTGTAAAATGGCCACAGAAAAGACATTTTTTAATCCCGATTGGGCAGATTTTAATCTCAATCCTCAGTGGAGAAAGCAACTCCTATTGTAGTTATAAAAGTGATACTTTGGGGATATATATATATATATATCTAAAGTCATATATAATTGGAAAATTTTTGTGGTTTCAAGTGGTGACATAATTAATTTACCTTCAGCACAGACAATGTGCACTATGCAGATAGACTGGAATTTTCTTGAGAAATACACCTGGAAAAGTTGGGGAATTTCATTCTCCTGTTTGAAAAAAATGTGTTTTTAGATTGATAGATGAGTTTTTGTGTTGATGTGTGCATTGTATTTTACTAATGAGTCTTTGATTTTAAAAATAAAATGAAAATTTACTGATATAATTATTTTTCTCCAATCTTTGCCTCTCTTCTCAGACAAATTTTTTGCGGATGCCCATATTGCTTTTTATATAACAAGCAGAATTGGTATAAAAAATTATAATTGACGGAGCTTTATCAACAAAATACCTGAGAGTTAAATTGCATACATTCTGCAGCAGATTTGTTGTGGAAATGTAGATAGTTTGGAGGCATATTTATGAAATTACTCATCAAGATTCAAAAATTACCTTTATCTGAAAATAACTCCATTCTAGTAAAAACATGAAAATTTCAATGGTTGAGCTTCCCAAACCCCATTCTTCTATAAATTAATTCTTTTTCAACTTTTATAACCATTCATTTAAAAGATCCAAACTTTTTTTTTTTTTTTTTTTTTCAGTTCAGCCTTGGATGTAATGGTGAATCCAAGACTGTCCAGGCCAATCCTCATGCCTGGTAATCCTGGTTATGATACATCTAATGTCAATTTAGAAAGTAAGACAAATTCCTGAAGTTCAAATAGAAATTGAAAATGGTTGTTCAGCTTTGATGGATTCTTCAGCTTAGCACGCAACAAGACTTAATTTATACAAAAATATGTAGAGCATGAGCTCTGAATGTCTATTTTCATGGTGGCTTATAAATCCTTCTAAACTATTTAAAATACACAATTTTTTAAATTTATTTTCAGTTCTAGGTTTTTAAAATTATAACATTAGAAATCTGAATAAAATTTTAATTTTTGTGTTTTATTAGAATTTAAAACCTAGACTGTTGTCTCGCACTCTCATTGACAGATGATATCATTTAGTGAACTCTCGATCTATAAACTAATGCTAACTTGCACAGTTAATCTGTGCATCATTTGAAGGTCATGACATCATATCAATCTGAGCATCTTTTGATCTTTTTAGTATGTTCATGTACTTGATTATTAAATTGATAAACATTTTAATTCCATTACTTTAATCTTATATTTGTAATTTTATTAATTAAAGTTATTCATAAAATTAGTAAAAATTCTTTAAGCTCTCTTTATTGCACTTTTTTCCTGGAAGGGAGGCATGATTTAAAATGTATAGACATGTGCTTTACCCAGCATACAATAAACTCAAACCATGAAAGCAAAAGCATACAGAAAGATGAAATGTAGTTTTTGGTTAAATAAGTTTCAATTAAAAAAGTAATTATTTAATGAATTGCTTTATATTCGGTCTACCGGAAAGTTCTGTCCGTTTTTGGAATAACACAAAATACAAATTTTTCTTACTATCAATAAACTTTATTAAATAATATAATTGCCATTATTATTAATGACCTCTTGCCAGTGTGAGGGCAATTTGTATATCCCATTTTTGAAAAATGTTGTATCTTTGGATGCGAAAAATTGAACCAGTGCTTTTTTTATATCTTCTTCATTTTTGAATGTTTTGCTCTTCAAAAAAATTTTCAAGGATGAAAAGTGATTGTCGGAGAGTGCTAAGTCCGGGAAATATGATGGATGCAACAGAATTTCCCAGCCTAGTTCTTCAATTTTTTTACTAGTCCCCCAAAGCAGCATGTGGCCTGGCATTATCATGATGCAGCCTAGTGCTATTGAGCATTGCCAACCTTTTTTCTTGGACTGCTGTCTTTAAATTATCCAGTTGCTGACAATACTTCTCCGAATTGAGCTTTTTTGTTCAATTTTAAAAGCTCATAATGTATCGGTCCTCGAATGTCCCACCATATACACAACATTCTCTTATTCAGAGTCAAATTTGGTTAGAGGTGGAAGGACTAGGTTTTCCAGCCTCACAATGTGCCCTTCTCCTTACGATGTTTTCATAGATAATCCTCTTTTCATCCCCAGGTATCATCCAGTTCAAGAAGGGCTCGATTTTGTTCCGATCAAGCAGAGGTGTGCATATGACGACTTGATCATCTAAATTCTTCTGACATACTTCATGTGGCACACATCTTGAATATTTCCACACGAATCCTATCTTCCGAATATGGTTTGCTGAGCTAAATCAAACCTTTCTGTGATCTCTGATGTTGTCGGAAAAGGAACTCGCTCCAATAGGGTTTCAACATAATCATCATCGATCAAAGATGGTCGCCCAAAACGTGACTTAGAAGAAAGGTCGAAATCGCCTCTTTCAAATTTTTCGAATAATCATCTGCATGTCCTATCAAAAACTGCACCTTCACCAAACATTTTCAATAAATTCCTACCTGTTTCTGTAGAATTTCTTCCTTGTTGAAATTCATATAAAATACAGTGATGTAAATGAATTTTATCAGTAGCCATGGGTACACTATAGCTTTGCACTTAAGACTAACTTGAATAAACTTTTTTTAGTTAATTTGCTACGTCAGTATATATACATTAAGGGATAAAAATAGAGAGCCGAACACGTGCTAAATAAACATCTGCTTATGTGTCGAAAATTGTTGTCATAGAAACGAACAGAACTTTCCAGTAGACCAAATACAGTCAAAAGTCGTTAATCCAAACACCCATAATCCGGACCTCAAAGCTACAAACTTTCTGCACATGCGTCACGCATGCACATAGGCATTTATGCATGCGCATAATACTTTTACACGTGTGCATATGCGTGTGCACATGCACATAATACGTTTTACGCATGCTCGTTTTATGTATAACGGACAGTATAAGCTAAGCTAAAATTATCTAATTATCTCTTTCAGTTAGTGTTGCAGATTGCGTTGTTCCTTGATCTTCTAATTGGATCTGGCTTGTTATTTTTTGCAGACTGTTAGAGCAATTCTATAAAAGTAGACTTGAACTTTCGATTACGTTAAAAAGAATTTCTGATTCTGGAGCTACCAAAGGATCTACAAAGTGAAAGCATGTTTCGATGTCCATCAAACAAAAAGTGGAATTGCTGCAAAAAATGGATAAAGGCATAAATAATCCTTTGTTTCTCTATCCATTCCGAAATCTTTTTATCAATTTCACGCTGCTCTGCGGGGGGGGACGCTGCACCGTGCAATGAATTGGAAGTTGATCTGTCAGCACTATCCTTATCTTCAGGGCAGATGTTTTTATTTTATTTGGCTTTATAACTCCTTACTAAATGTAGTATTTCATCTCGATGTACTCCGTCTTTGATATGATTTAAATCAAATTCCTTGTCATTATAATTCTCTTCCGATAGTGAAGAAAGTGACACAGAGGTTATTGAAAATGAAAAAATTTCAATTGACAAATTGGTCAGTATTCTCGACACAGCAATTATAGGACTTGAACAGCGGAACTTTGTAACTGAACAAGAAATTATGTGTTTATAGAATTAGAGATAAAGTATTATCACATAAAACGAAACAACTTACATTGAAAGAAATGTTTAATAAAGTAAACAAATAAATATTAAGCTTTTTTTTTTTTTTTTTTTTTTTTTTTGTAAATTTTGATACCTTTTAGATCATAATTGTTCTTTATTTCATAAATTACGGTTTCATATTTTTAATTTTATAATTTCTGCATGCCATCTTACCAGATTTAAACTGATGATCTATAATCCGGAATCGCCAAAGTCCCGACGAGTCCGGATTAAAGACTTTTGACTGTATAATTCTTATCAGTGATATCTATTACATTGAAAAAAAACTTGGCCCTAGTGAGCAGAGCACTTATCTGCAGATCAAGATATTCAAGTCTGCAGACTCTATGCTAGTGAAAGAAGCTGAATTAGAATTAATATGTTTGAAGATAATATATTTGATAAAAATCCAGGGCATGTAACATATAGTCTGACTGAAAAGTTTTAAGACTGATACTTTTATTCAGACTTTGGGTGATTGTAAAGCATTGTAGTTTTCATCTTCTTTATATATATATGTAAATAAA